TTCCAGCTCCCCAGCTACTCCGCGTACTACAGTTGTACTACAAAGTCACCAGTGCTCATCTCCCAGCTCCCCAGATACTCCAGCCTCTCGCCTGCATTTCGCGCACTCGACGCGCACGATCTCCGCAGAGGGTTGTGCGGGCACCCGCCAAATCGCACTCTCGCCTGCATTTCGCGCACTCGACACGCACGATCTCCGCAGAGGGTTGCGCGGGCAGCCGGCGAATCGCACTCTCGCCTGCATTTCGCGCACTCGACACGCACGATCTCCGCAGAGGGTTGCGCGCGGACCGGACAAGTCGCACTCTCGCCTGCATTTCGCGCGCTCGACACGCACGATCTCCGCAGAGGGTTGCACTTTCGGTTGACGCTGTTCGTCCCGCCCTCCGCCTTTAAGAGAGAATTTATAAAGTGGGGAAATGTTTTTTCATTAGGACATCTCCCGTGCTAGTTTTCCATACTCACACTTGCCTACTCATTGCATGCTTGCATGCTCAAAGCATGCTTGCGTACCCATCACTTGCATACTTACACTGCGTGCTTGCCGAGTGTCAGTGTGTATGTGTCAGTGTCAGTGTCGAAGTGTCAGTGTATGTAGTGCGAATGTGGTGGAAGTGTCAGTGTGTAAGTGTAAGTGTCGAAGTGTCAGTGTTCAAGGGATTTTCCGGAAGAACCCTTCGCAATGCTTTCGGGAAAAACACCAAGCAGAAGCAGCAGCAGCAGCAGCAGCAACCGATAAACAGTATCCAGCAAGCAGAAACAGCGGAGGATGCCTGGTATGATCTGGCATGTTATGGGAAAACAGGTTTGGTGTGGACCGCGGTTTGGTGTAGACGGTGGTTGGCAACCAGCAAGGAGCAACAGCGGATGATGCCTGGCATATTATGGGAAAACAGGTTTGGTGTACGGTGTAAATCGTGGCTTGGTGTAAACAGTGGTTGGTGACAGCCGTGGTTTCGTGTGAACGGTGGTTGGTGTAAAGCTTGATTTGGGATAAGCCGTGGTGTAGACCGTGGTTTGTGTAAACTGTGGTTGGTGCAAGCCGTGTTTTCGGCGTTTTGGTGTAAACGGTGTTTCGTGTAAACCGTGCTTTCTGTAAACCGTGGTTGGAGCAATACAGCAAGCAGCAAGCAACAGCTGATGATGAGTGGCGGGAAAGTATTAATGAGGCAGCTTGATGAGATGAGAAGCTCATGGCCATCTCCAAGAGCGCATCAGACCCTGACACACTCACCCACTCCCCCGTCCGCAGGGGGGAGTTGAACCCGCGGAGGGGGGGTCCATAAGATTGATTTAATCAATTGTTTTGGGATATTTTGGGTTTCCGAAGCGAGACGTCCACCCGGTCATTTTGCTTGCTAACGCAAGATCAACTCCAGCTAGTTGAGGCTAGCTTTCGTGAAAATCATAATTCATAAGCAATTCAAAATCATCTCAATCATATCATCTCTACATGGGCGAAGTAAACATCTTCATCTCCTGCGGTTCGCTGGTGGCGTCATCTTGACGAAGGCGTTGTTGCCACCGATCGACCTCCGCGTTGTTTGCTTGGGTTGGTTGCCGCAGTGTTCTCTCTCTCTCTCTCTCTCTAAAGTCGGGCTGTCTCACAGCTGACCGACTTCAGGAGTGTCTCTGATTGTCTCTTCTTCAAAAAGGCTCTCTCTACAGCACAGCCTGTGACTGGAGCCCACAGGGATCGTAAAACAAGGATGGCTACCGATCCCCCACCCCACCCAGGCTGAGATTGCTTTCAGTCTGCTTTCAGTATGCAACTGCGGGTTCGACCAACCGCCTGCACAATCTGCAACGTTGTCAGGTCGGCAGGTAGGATGACGGGTTTAGGGCAGCTCGGGTAGCAAAGGCTCCAGCCATTTTGTCTCCACACATCAAGCGAAGTGTGGCGATGACCATCGGTAGATCCTCAGATCGAAGCAGGATGCGTTTCGGAAGGGGAAAAGTGGCACTAGGCTTTGCCAAGGAAAGCCATCATGGTGATGTCAACCAAGCGAAACGACTGTAAGGCGCGGACACTGGTCGTGTCCCCACAGACTATGTTCGGACCTGCTGGCATGGCAGGATGCATGATCAGACCAAAGGCAAAGTTTAAGGGAATCCCAAGTATACAATCCCCTCTAATGACTCACGCCCGGCTTTTACGTCAATAGAACAATGCCCCACTGCTTCCCAACCCAGGACAGTGGGAAGGCCTTCTGACAAATGCAGGCCCAACTTCTGATCCTCAGCATTTACAAAGCAACATCTGCATCAGTTTTTTGGAACTGCCTTGGCACTGACAAATCCACTTCCTGTGGCGCAGCCGTCGCCATTTTCTACAGCGGCGCAGCCAGCGCAGTCAGCGCCCAAGCTTGGCTCAGCAAGCTCACGGAGTTGACCGTCATGCGCGGCGTGAAGTGAAGGATCTGCACACTGACTCACAGTTACAGTAGTTTAGGTTTCAATAGATCTTAATGCTACGCATGCTGTCAACAATCTCACCATCCATCAGGATTTGGCCAAATTTCACCATCGATTAAAAAGGTCTAGTGAGCGGCTTAGTGGTTCAGAGATTCAAAGGCTCTGGGCCACGGAACCCGTCCCGGATGTCTCAACTGGCGCATGGGTGTAGCACCTGGCATGTGAAAAGAATCAGCCAGGTACTTGTGATGAAACGCTTTTGGTACAGATTAAAGGCAGCACAAAAAGGATGTTCTCTAGCGAGGCCAGAGAAATCTGTCCCTGGAAGATAAAGAGGGACCAAAATGTCAACAAATATATGGAGATGCAGCTGCTGCTGCTGCTGCTGCTGATGATGATGATGATGATGATGGAGGGGTTGGCAGGTCTCTCAAAGCACTCAACCCTGAAATACACTGCTCAACCCATTCAGAAAAGATGCGCCGCAAACATTTCCACCAGCAAAGTGATGTTGCACACTGCGGCATCTATCTTCCAAGTCTACCCCAAGAGATACGCCCCAAGGCTCAGCTCAGCCTTGGACCAAAGAAGGATTCCCTACCGTCTCGTAGTTCCCTGAGTCACCTCAGGCCGGCGGTCCAATGGCGGAAGTGACAGGCCTTCCTTTACTGCTTGTGCTTGACACCTAAGCAAAGTGGTCAGACCTCAGGACGGTGCAGCTGCCACAAGGTTCGTCACTGAAACCGATCTGAAGAGTACCTGAAGACATCTAAATGCGGTATGTGCAACCCTTGCACTAACACAAAGGCCTCAAGGATGCTGATGACCCAAAGAATTAAAATATATTCCTATCTGAGGTTGTGGTTACTCATTTCTCGGGATTGTGTGTCCAGTCCTGTTTCAAGCATAGGTTGTCCTGTGCACGAGGCTGAGAGCAGCAAACTGCACTGATTGTAGATTACTCACATAGATCAAGAGTTGGTTCACGAATAGATCAGCTTGCACAACCCATTTCAGGGTCGCACTGAGGTCAAAGTGCACCTTAGAGACATGCTGCCACGCAAAGGCGATGTTCGCTCTCCAGGCAGGAATGCGCTCGTCAATGAATGAGTCGGTGCGAGTTGAAGATGTTGACGAGTCATATTGACGAGTCGGGTCACTCAGCCGGACTTTTAGCTCGGATTAAAGGCCATCGCTACTAGTATGTACAGTAACTAGGGCATGGCTACTAGCAACAAGGGCATTGCTACTAGTAGCTAGAAGCTACATAGTAACAACTACTGCTAGTATATAGCTAGAAGCAAGTCTGTTGGTTTTTGTGTCCGAGTTGCTTCCGTTTCAATATATATAATTACAGTAACCCTTTTGCTTTAAGTCCGACCTTGTATTTGCAGAGGGTTCCTCTAGCTTGTTTTAGACCTATTGAATAGGTCCTATTCCTGAGGCAGCCGCGCGGTAAAAACATGTAAAAACGGGAAAAATTTTCTTTGTTCTTTGTTTACCGTTTTCACCGGGGGGTCGTTCTTTTTACCCCGCAGTAAAAACGGTAAAAATCAAATTGTTTATTTTTTGCCGTTTTATACCGGGTTGGGTCGCCCTTTGTCTTTTACCATCCGCGCGGATGGTAAAGGGCGACCCAACCCGGTAAAAACAATACTGTAAAAATCAAACGTTGTCTTGTTTCCCGCTTTTACCGGGGTCGCCCTTTTTTTACCACCCGTGCGGTAAAACGGCCAAAATCCAATTTGTTGTATTTTCCCCGTTTTTACCGGGGGGTCGCCCTTTTCCTTTTACCAATTTTTAAAATCTTTTACCATCCGTGCGGTAAAAACAGTAGAAATCGATGTTGTTCTGTTTTTACCCGGTTTCTTTCTATACCGTCCGCACGGTACAAGCGCAGGGTTTAGGTCACATCAGGTGGAAAGAAATCACATCAAAACATGTAATCCCCAGTGGCACAGCGCCGCCAAAGCAAGTCTTTAGAAAGAAGAAAAAAATTACACCGGCAAGGGACCCCAAATAGTGTAAAGAGGAACAGCTGGAACATGGCATCACGTGGAAGGAAAGACACACAGATGAGAGCACAAATATGAGAGGATACATACAAGAGCACAAATGTGAGAGTGCACAGATGAGAGCAGCAGATGCGGAAGCATGTGAAAGACCAGAGGGAAGGCGTGAGTTTGTAAGGAGGAGAGTGCGACCAACGTAGTGCCAAAAATGCTAAGGAGTAGTATGGCTTGAAGGTCGTTGTAAAACAAAAGGCTACGACTGCAGACGCGCATGTTTTCCGCGTGAGCATGCAGTGGCAAGCTGCGAGCGCGCACGACTCCGATGCGAGGGGCCGCCCCAGCGCAACCGCATGGGACGAGGTGAAGGATGCGACGAATCCGGAGAGGTCATGGTACTGGTGGTGGTGAAGGTGGCGCTGACGGTGGTGGTCGAGCCAACAACTTCCAAAACGGCAAGTTCATTGAAATTCAAAACCCTTCAAGAACATCTGCACATCGAGATTCACGAGCACAAATGAGAGCACACATATGAGAGCATATGGGAGCACATATGAGAGCACATGAGAGCACACATCTGAGAGCACAAATGTGAGAGCACATACAAGCACAAATCTGAGAGCACATAGGCGAGTACATAGGAGCATTTCGAAGTTCACAATGTACCGCGCCTGCCACGAAATCTGCACATCGAGGTTCACAAAGTACTGCGCCTGCCACGAAATCTGCGTCACATTGAGATTCACAAAGTGCTGTGCCTGCTACGAAATCTGCACATCGAGATTCACAAAGTGCTGCGCCTGCCACGAAATCTGCACTTCCAGACTCAGCAAGTGCTGCGCCTGCCACGGAATCTGCACATCTAGATTCACACAGTGCTGCGCCTGCCACGAAATCTGCACATCGAGATTCACAAAGTGCTGCGCCGGCCTGGCAATCTGCACATCTAGATTCACAAAGCGCTGCGCCTGCCACGAAATCTGCACATGGAGCTTCACAAAGTGCTGCGCCTGCCACGAAATCTGCACATCGAGATTCACAAAGTGCTGCGCCTGCC